GTCCGGGCTGGGGATTTGAACCCGCCACCTTAGATGTATGTGGCTGGCGCCTTAGCCGGCTGAGCTATAGGCGCTGAGCCGAATAATGTAAAATTTAAATTGAAGAACTTGAACTGTTTTCTTTCCATTCATTATAACCAACTATTTTGGTATACACTTACATTTTAAATTGCCTTCTTTTAAATCACTGTCATTAAATTATGTCAGTTAACCTTATGTTGACAGTATTTTCTGGAAATACATTGCTTTTCTTCTGTCTGATTAATCTGGGTTTTGGGTCCAAAAAATGTTACTGGCTTAGCCATTTAAAGGGAACAGAAAGTCTTAAACACGTGTAACTAGGATTTTGTTTGCTGTTTAAACAGGAATAGAGAAAAAGAGGAACAGCTATGGTGGAACTGAGTGGATGGCACGTGACATGTTCCTTTTTGCTGAAATTTTACTTAGGAAATGAGAAGACGTCCTGTTTGTCTTCCCCACCTGTTAGTGGGACGTAACACATGGTGTTGACTTGGCCTCATGTATTAACTTGGGCGAGAAAGCGTGTGGTTTCTAGGTTGAAATAATGGCCCAGTGTTGGGGCAGAGGCTTCTGGCCCACTTGAGTGGAGCATGTGCCTTTTTTGCTTTTGTTTTTCAGTTACGAGGGTGGATTTTCACTGAGTAGTCTGCATTGTTCTTCTTGTCTCTTTGTGACCAGAAATCTGTAAGGTGGTTGGCTGGTGGGTATTAGAGACGTTGCCTGCAGTGAAGCAGAGTCGTGAAGAGAGAGGCAAAAAGCACGTTGCCCACTTGCTGATTCTCTCCCTTGGCTTCGTCAGCATCTAACGCTAATCAGTTGTTTACTTAGTGCTGTGGATGTGGATGTGTATTTGTGTGTGTGTGTAAACATAGAGCTCTTTAGAAACTGACTCATGTAGAATTGCTTAGCACTGGAAAGAAACCATAAATTATGAGCTATCCTCATTTGACCTCAGCCAATGGGTGCTGCACAGAGCGACTTCACAGCGTGGTGAACGCGCCTGCGAACATGTGAACGTGGCTTCTGGCTCTTTTCTAGCACAGTCCCCTTACCTCCTCCCGTAGCATTGTCGAGTTGTTCTTTGGGCTTTTGTTTCTTTGGGGGTTTTCTGTTTTGTTTTTTGTAGAGACAAGGTCTCATGATTTTGCTGCTCTCAAACTCCTGGACTCAAGCAGTCCTCCTGCCTCAGACTCCCAAAGTGCTAGGGTTATAGGCAAGAGCTACCACGCCCAGGAATTCACATACCCAAATATATTCTTTTAGTGTGTGTGTGTGTGTGAGAGAGAGAGAGAGAGAGACACACAGCCTCGTTTTTTTGAGACAGCATTAGCTTACCGCACCTCAAACTCTTGGGCTCAGGTGATCCTCTTGCCTCAGCTTCCTGAGTAGCTGGGACTATAGGCACCTGCCACAATGCCAGGCTTATTTTTTTTTCTTTCTATTTTTTTGTAGAGATGGGGTCTTGCTCTTGCTGGTCTTGAACTCCTGAGCTCAAGCAATCCACTCACCATGGCCTCCCAGAGTAGTGGGAGTATAGGCCTGAACCACTGCGCCCAGCCTCAAACATATTCTGCCGCCACTCACAGAATCCCATTGGAAGAGTAACTGGCAGGCACTCGGTTTTCCAAATTGTAGCAAGAAGTCTGAGGAAGCTCTTTTTCTGTGTAACTGCCTTTTGGAATTGTAATGTTTTCAGTTCTCTCAGCATTAATGTATTTAAAGGAAAAGACCTACCTCTAGTGATATAAAATATAATTGCATGTCAAAATATGAGTGCTTAGTTCCTGTCAGAGTGGTTGCTGACTTGCATTTGAAATGGTGGTGGTACTGAATGATGCCAGCTCTCAGCTAAGTCAGATGTTCATATTTGGCTTCTGTTTGGTGTGATAGGCAGCCAAAGATGATACAGAACTAGAGAAAAAAATTTATGTATATTGAAGTGCATAATGGATTATACAGTCATGTTCTTAAAATTTTCTGTTTTATGAGTTGGTGGGGAAAAGGCTTCATGACTTACAGACAGTGAGAAAAATAACTTTGGATGGGGACGTTTTCCTTAAGCTGCTGCACTGCTTGTCTGTTATTGAATAAATCATAGGCCTAATCCTTCTGTGACCTACTGTCCCTGTGGTAACTTCATTCTGAGAGCATGTTCAGTTGTTAGAGGAATGTGTTGGGTGCCCATCATTAGACAGGCCCCATAACCTGTATTTGCTTCATACCTGATTTGTCAGTTCGAACATGTTTCACACGGTGGTGTGTTCCTTTTTCCTTCCTTTCTTCTCTTTCTGCCCCTAGGCCTTGTCTACCCTGGACTCCATCACTCTGATGTACCCTTTCTTTTACCGGCCCATGTTTGAAGTGATAGAAGATGGCTGGCATTCGTTCCTTCCTGAGCAAGAGTTTGAGCTCTACTCCGCAGCTGTGAGTTAACTTTTGAGAACTATGAATAATGAAAAGTAACTTATCACCTTATTTTACTTGTGAATATGGTCACTTCTGTTGAAGAGTTAAAAGGTGAAGTTAACTTATCGATGCTTAAAAGAAGTATATATGTTCGTATGTTGCTTAATGACAAGGCTTCATTCTGAGAAATGCATCATTTCTCTTAAAATATGGTACCCACAACATTTAATGTAACTTGGAACTATTGCTAATGGCTTAAGGTAGCCTAAAGTTGCATTAGCTGTTTTGAGAATACAATTACTAATGAAGTAAACTAAAATTCCGACATCTTTTTACAGTAAGAGATCCCACCTGTGTTTTTATTGTTTTACTTATATTCAATAGTTTTTTTCTGCTAGATATTCCCTTTGGGGGATAGGTTAATTATTTAAGCAATTTGTGTAATTAAAGTTTTATTTTCCTGCAAATTTTATAATCCACACACTTAATAAAACCTCTTTAATGATCTGGGGTATTAATTGCTAGAATTTCAAAATTTAAGATGAGCAAAATATGGTCTCTTCTAGTTCTTCAAACTCTAATAATACATTAAGCACAATAAAATAAGAGCTAATAAAAAGTATCCACAAGGCACAGGGAAAATGGCATTATTAGATTTGTGTTATAGAAAGCCAATTCTGGGCTGGGCACAGTGGCTCATGCCTGTAATCCCAGCACTCTGGGAGGCTGAGGTGCGTGGATCGCCTGACCTCAGGAGTTTGAGACCAGCCTGAGCAAGAGTGAGACCCTGTCTCTTAAAAAAAAAAAAAAAATCTGGGTGTTGTGGTGGGTGCCTGTAGTCCCACCTACTTGAGAGGCTGAGGCAAGAGAAATTGCTTGAGCCCAAGATTTTAAGGTTGCTGTGAGCTGTGATGCTGTAACACTGTATCGAGGGTGACAAAATGAGACTCTGTGTCAAAAAAGAAAAAAGAAAGCCAATTTGATGTAAGATGCTAAGAAACTGCTTAAGAGGATACTGTGGTCATATAAAGAAGATGGTTGGATCAATAACAATTTTTCTCTACTGCAGAAAGATTCAGGCAGTAGAATTAAAAGGAATTGGTAAGCCCAGCGCAGTGGCTCACACCTGTAATCCTAGCACTCTGGACGGCCAAGGTTGGAGGTTTGCTTGAGTTTAGGAGTTCAAGACCAGCCTGAGCAAGAGTGAGACCCCATTTCTACTAAAAAATGAAAATAAAAAATAAAAAACCTAGGCAGGCATAGTGGCACACGCCTGTAGTCCCAGCTACTCGGGAGGCTGAGGAAAAGGATTGCTCAAGCCCAAGAGTTTGAGGTTGCTGTGAGGTACCATGATGCTATGGCACTGTACCCTGGGTGACAGAGTGAGACTCTGTCTCAAAAAAATAAAAATAAAACAACAAAAAAAGGAATTGGTGGTCTTCCCACTGGATGTGAGAGGTAAAATGTGAATGGTGTCGAGGCTGATGCCATTGAGATAGAAAAGCTAGAAAAGGAAACAAGTTTGTCAGGGAGTGAGCCGGGTCATTTTGAATGACTGGGAATTCAGAGGGCCTGTGTGGTACATGTACAGTGTGCCCAAGAAACAGTTTAGAGCTTGTTGGGGAGATCTGTCAAAAATGAAAAATTGTAAGTAATTAACCTGTACAGTGTGGAAACCATGGAGCAGCTTTGATTGCCTCGTAAAGCAGACTTGGTGAGAGGATAGTTTGACCGTCTCTTGCGATGATGGTGGAACTGCTTCTTCCATTTCTGTCCGTATCTCCTACCAGATACACATATACGTACATGTGTACATACACTTTCCTGGTAAATGAATCCTTTCATTATTATGAAATGACCTTTATTTCATAATATTCTGGATTTTGAAATCTTCTTTTTTAATTTGGAATTAATACTGCTATTTCTGCCCTTGGTGGAGTGCCGTGGCATCACACCTCACAGCAACCTCCAGCTCTTGGGCTTAGTTGATTCTCTTGCCTCAGCCTCCCGAGTAGCTGAGGCAAGGTGCCCGCCACCATGCCCGGCCATTTTTTTGTTGTTGTTGCAGTTTGGCCGGGGCCAGGTTCAAACTCGCCACCCTCTGTATATGGGGCCGGTGTCCTACCCACTGAGCTACAGGCACAACCCATGTATAACTTTTTCTATCCATTTATTTTCAACCTACCTGTGCCTTTATATTCAAAATGCATGTCTTGTACACAGCATATATTTGGGCCTTACTTTTTTTTCTTTAATTGATTCTGACAATCGGTGCAAGATGCAGAATTCAGAGTTGGCAGGTTTTATGTCTTTCAATACTTTAAAAGCTCCATCTTCTGGTCTCCATCACGTCCACCTACTGAACAGTAAGCAAAGAGAATGGCCCAGAATTAACCAGAGAGAAAAGACTAATCATCTAGATTGTTTTAGATTAGAAGAGAAAAAAATTTGATAAACATCTTGGATTTAGAGGGAATTTACTTAATCTGATAAAGTGTAGCTACCAAAGCTAAAAACATACAAAAATCTTTACCCTTCTCTTTAAGTCTGTGGTTCTCAACTTTCCTAATGCCGCAATGTATTTTTATTGTTTAAAAGGGGTCGTGACCCACAGGTTGAGAAACGCTGCTTAAAGAATGAGGCGAAGGCGCCTCCGTCATTACTCCTAATCAGCTCCGTAAGACAGAAGGGTTGAAATGAAAGAAGCAGAGTTGCCGTTATTTGTTGATTATCTGCTTGTTTGCACAGGAAAATGAAAGACTCTTGAGATTATGTTTCTATGTCAGATAATTTTGATATAGATATAATTAAAATGCAACAAAAATTATAAAGTTTCTGGAAATACATCTAAAGAGAGATATGTAAGACCTTTATTGAAAGCATTAAAAAACTTTATGGGAAAAATTAAAGCTTAATCAATGGACAGACAATATGCTTATGGGTAGGAAGATGGAATATTATAAAGATGTGATTCATCCTCTCTGAACTGATCTATAAAGTCAATAGTCTTATTAATTAAATCCTCACTTGGTTTTCTTGTAGCTTATGGAAGGCCCAGCAGCAGCCAGTGAAAGTTGACCTCTAAGGTCTTTTTTAGTTTTTTATTTTTGAGACGTTGAGCTTCTTGCATAGCTTTGAAGTATTTTGTGTTTTTCAGACCAGTGAATGGAGGCTCAGCTATGTCAATAAGGAGTTTGCTGTCTGCCCCTCCTACCCTCCAATTGTCATAGTGCCCAAATCCATTGATGACGAGGCTCTCCGGAAGGTAGCTACGTTTCGGCATGGAGGGCGCTTCCCAGTACTAAGCTATTACCATAAAAAAAATGGAATGGTAAGTGTACAGTTCTATCTACTGCTGGGTCTTAGAAATGCTCCCTTTGTCTGTGTACCTGTTCACTGAAGGGCTTGGCCAGGTGTCTCCCGCTAGGACTGACCAGGACTCCCCTCATGTAACTTGCAGAGACTCAGAGTGGGGTGGCTTCTGTGTCGAGCATACGACTGGATTCTTTCCGTGATCCTGCTCGTCCTTAGAAAGCCCAGCTAGATTTCTTGTCAGGACACTGTACAAGTGAAGCTAATGTTTATTTAATGATAAGAGCAGTGTTCTTAAGATAGAAAAATGAGAAATTTCTCTGCCCAGAATAATGTATAATGTGAATTGAGCAGACATTGTTATTTTCAAGGGGAGAAGAGTGACAGATGTCATTTAGTCACAACTTTAGTAATCAGCAGGAGTCAGGACTGGATAGACAAAGGCTCACTGGGGATTTGTCTCCTGAGTATTTTCTTTTTTTTTTTTTTTTAATTTAATAGTTTCATCTTAGTTCCCTTTTATTTTTTATTTTATTTTATTTTATTTTTGCAGTTTTTGGCCAAGGCTGGGTTTGAACCTGCCACCTGTGGCATATGGGGCCAGGAGTGCTTTACTCCTTTGAGCCACAGGCGCTGCCCCTCCTGAGTATTTTCTAAATCTCTTTCTCCCCTCTCATTTTCTTTCAGCCAATAAACTCTGCTTCTCATTTTGAAATACAGTAATAAATCAGCGGATGAGTTATAGCTGTCTTCCATTTTCCTTTTTCTCCCTGGTAATATGTCAAAAAATGGGTATTTAGGATAAAAAGATGATTAAAAGTTTACAATTTTGGCAATAGGCTTGCTTCGTAGAATTGCTCTTCAAAAGGATTTTTTTTTTTTTTTTTTAGACAGAGCCTCAAGCTGTCCCCTTGGGTAGAGTGCCGTGGCATCACAGCTCACAGCAACCTCCAACTCCTGGGCTCAAGCGAGTCTCTTGCCTCCGCCTCCCAAGTAGCTGGGACCACAGGCGCCCGCCACAACGCCCGGCTATTTTTTGGTTGCAGCCGTCATTGTTATTTGGCGGGTCCAGGCTGGGGATTTGAACCCGCCACCTTAGGTGTACGTGGCTGGCGCCTTAGCTGGTTGAGCTATAGGCGCCGAGCCCAAAAGGATTTTTAATAAAACGTTTTAACAATTGATACTAAGTATCATGTGTCCATTTGAATGGGAAGGGCTCTCTGACAGGTAACCATTGTCATCCTTTGGGTGACCTTTCTGAAGGTCATGTTAAAGGCCAAGGTGATTAAGATAACAGTATATACTGACGATCTCTTGAAATAACTCTAAACCATCTACCAGGGAAGAGATTAGTAAACTAGACAATGATTTTTTTTTTTAAAGTTTCAAAAGCAAACTTTTCAAAATACATAGCTGATAAGGTAGTGTTTGGAGACAAGTGGTTAATGCTGCAAAGGATGGCAGAGACCCCTGGAGAATAAGTAATGAACAAGCAGCTTCTGAAGGATTGAGAACGATTCCCCACACGATTCCTACAAAGAATAGCCCATGACCTTTTATATTTTGCCATTAGTGCCTTTCCTCTTTAGATGCTTATGCCAACCCTGTGTATACGTAGTTGAAGTCCAGGTTCACTGGCTCAGAGGCCATTACTGTCTTCATGACCAGGAACTTGATTCCCAGACTAAAGGAATTGTAGCATTTGATCTTGAAGAAGTGGTATAATTTATTGTGGGGAAGTATTTTGAGGTAGCAGGTGGAAAAAATGTATAAAAATGTAAGATTTATCTGTTTATGGTTGTTAACTACTGTCAATACATGCAGACGTTTTCTTGGTTTCAGAGCAAGTCCGTCTCCAGAGTGCTGCACAGTTGTTTCTGAAATACTCTTAATCTTACTGATTTCTTTCTGTTTTCAGAAACTTTAAAAGCAAGTGTAATTGATTCAGCTGTATTGTGCTTTTAGGTAATTATGCGAAGTGGCCAGCCACTCACTGGGACAAATGGCAGGAGGTGCAAGGAAGATGAGAAGCTCATCAATGCCACCCTCAGGGCTGGGAAGCGTGGCTACGTCATTGACACCCGCCCTCTAAACGTGGCGCAGCAAGCTAGGGCCAAAGGAGGCGGCTTTGAACAAGAAGCTCATTATCCCCAGTGGAGACGAATTCATAAGTCAATTGAGAGGTGAGTGATCCCAGGGGTAGAAAGGAGTCCCAGGGGTGGAAATGAGCAAGCTCGTAGCTGTCCAAAATCACAAGTGCGCAAATGAACCTGTACCTTAATCTAGGGTCACTTATTGGCTGGATGTCTTCTTAAGGGTAGTCATAAAGTTTGTGTGAAATTTAAAATAGTTTAACAAGCCGAGTGAGGTGGCTCACACCTGCAGTCCTAGCACTCTGGGAGGCTGAGGCAGGTGGATCCCCTGAGCTCAGGCTGAGTTCAACACCAGCCTGAACAAGAGTACACGCCATCTCCAAAAATATAGTCAGGCATTGTGATGCTTGCCTGTAGTCCTAGCTACTTGGCAGGCTGAGGCAAGAGAATTCCCTAGGCCTAAGATTTGAGGTTGCTGTAAGCTATGACGTCACAGCACTCTACCGAGGGTGACAAAGTAAGACTGTGTGGAAAAAAAAAAAAGTAAATTAGTTTAACATAGCGAATTGCACATGAACTTTATGTCTACCCTGAACAGATTTATGGCGTACAACGTGTTTTCATATACGTGTACATTGTGAAGTGATTAGCTCAAGCTAATTAACGTATCTCACTGTACATACCTTTTTTGGTGGTGAACCTTTAAGATCTGTGCTCCTAGCAATTTTTGAGTATACATTATGTTCTTACTAACTATAGTTACCATCTTGTATAATCGATCTCCAAAACTTACTCCTTCTGTTTTCTGTGAGTGGGAGATGTTTGAGTACTTCTGGTTGAGTAGGAGCTAGAGCTAAAAATCAGTGGGATCCAGGCTGGTCTGGGGTATCACTGATGCCAGGTGTCTTGTGTTAGGTCAGTGGAATAAGATCGCAGATGGAGGCCGAGCATGGTGGCCCCTGCCTATAATCCTAGCACTCAAGAAGGCTGAGGCAGGTGGATTGCCTGAGCTCAGGAGTTCAAGACCAGCCTGAGCAAGAGTGAGACCCTGTCTCTACTAAAAATAGAAAAGCTAACTGGGCACAGTGGCAGGTGCCTGTAGTTCCAGCTACTTAGAGGCCGAGGCAAGAGGATCGCTTTAGCTCAAGAGTTTGAGGTCGCTGTGACCTACGATGACACCATGATACTCTACCCAAGGCAACAGAGTGAGACTCTGTTTCAACAACAACAACAAAAGGATTGCAGTTGTTGCAGCTAGTAGTAGACTAGCTCCTACTCAACCAGAATGTGATCTGTTGGAAAATGCAGGGCTCCGGCTCCCTGTCCTAGTCAGATAATCCAGTTATGTGAGTGTGTTTTAATCTTTTCAGATGAGGAGCAGGTTACCAGCACAGGCATCTTTATAACAGTGTAAAGATGCATTTCAAGCATCTTTTAACAGTGTTTAAATAGTAGTTTTTCAAACCTTAACCTCAAGTTCCTATACAGTGAGGTAAGTATTTTTATAGTATTTTGAACTACTTTTGCTCTTGGATATATTGGAAGCTGAGTTTTTGGTTTGGTTTCTTCCTTTATTGTTCTACATCCTGTTTTCTTTTATAATGTTTTGTTTTCTTCCTATGTTTAAAAGATACCATATTCTTCAAGAGAGCTTAATCAAACTCGTGGAAGCTTGTAACGAGCAAACACATAACATGGACCGATGGCTCAGTAAACTGGAGGCCTCTAACTGGCTGACTCACATCAAGGAGATCCTGACGGCTGCCTGCCTCGCAGCTCAGTGTATCGACAGGTAAAGTGCATGTCCGTGCTCCTGAGTGGACACGTGCTGATAAAAACGAGACTTTGTTTTCATCTAGACACATGTTTATAGATTGTTTGCGGCTATTTCATATTCCACGGTCACATCATTTGTTACATGTAAGATTGTCAGCACCATCATTGATGAGCTGTGAACCTGGAGTCATGTATTTAATAAATAAATGATGTTTATTGAATTAATGTGAACCATGGACCTACACTTGTCTTCTAGGACACAATTTTTTTAAATACTAAAACACTCATTTTTTTCTATAAAATGCTTAAATTATTAATTTACCAATAAAAAAAGAATGAAAGGAAGTTTTTAAAATTTCTTTTTAGTGGACCAAACTTCCCTCCTCACTTTTGAAACAGCAATGAAAGGAAACATGTAATTTCACAGCGAAATGACCTTGATGATCTGTCAAATATTACAAAGTACTTGTGCCACTATGTGTGGATCTCGTGTCAAGAAAACCTAATGGTAGTGATGTGAACTCTAAGAAGTGATTTTAGTTCATTCACTCAGTTAAAGATGGCTACTCCTTGAGACTTGAGGCAGAAGACTTGAACAGGGGCAGAAGGGTTGGTATAAATTGTTGCAGAAGCTGAAAATCCCTTTTTAAGAAGGGGGTTTCTACTGAATCAATAGGTAGGTATAAGTATTGTCAGCACATAGTTGGACGGCACTTATCTTTGAGACCTTATTTTATTGGTGTTTCCTAATTAGGGAAATATACACACATATGTAATTTTTTATGGTTAGAGATAATTGATAATAGATTGAGTTGCTAAGATCATGTAGTAAGTTAGTAGTGATGGAACCAAGAGAAGGTCAAGTCCCTTTGAGTCAGGATTGCCAGGCTATCACTACCATGTTTCCCGAAAATAAGACCTACCCAAAAAATAAGCCCTAGCAGGATTTCTATGCATTTGTTAAATATAAGCCCTACCCCGATAATAAGACCTAGTGATGGGCGTGGCCATGCAGCGTATCTGCATAGCCACGCCATGCATCTCAGCATGGAGAGGAAGACATCCCCTGAAAATAAGCCCTACCGTGTCTTGTTGGGAAAAAATAAATACAAGACAGTGTCTTATTTTCAGGGAAACACGGTACTTTGTGTTTTAGGCATTAGGTGAAACTCATTTAGCCAATAAAATATGAAATTAAAGACCAAGGTTCTGTGGCAAGGAAACCATCATTGAGGATTTTGTTTCTTTTTATCCTAAGTTAACCAGATTTCTCCTTACAAATTATGACCACAGGCACTTTTGTTTTCTTATGAAACATGTGTTGTAATAAACATTTGTCCCCAGATTGTCTGAATTTTCATCAGCATTAACAAGATGATGCAGATCAAGGCAACCCTAGGTACAGGACAGGTTTGTTTGTTTGTTTTGTTTTGTTTTTTGAGACATAGTCTTTTTCTGCTGCCCAGGCTAGAGTTCCATGGTGTCAGCCTGGCTTACAGCAACCTCAAACTCCTGGGCTTAAGTGATCCTCCTGTAAATGGGACTATAGACTTATGCCACCACGCCTGGGTAATTTTTAAAATTTTGATCTTCCCAGGCTGTGCTTGAACTCCTCGGCTCAAGCAATCTCTCCACTTTGGCCTCCCAAAGTGCTGGGGTTACAGGTGTGAGCCACTGTGCCCAGCCTTTTTGGACAGTTTTATATTTTTGTTTTTTCCTGTTGTTATCTTCTCAAAATGTCATTCAGGCCTTATTTGCCACATCAGTCACAGTTTATGAAGGTGTCTTAATAGTTAGCTGATAATGGAAAGGTTAGAATCAAGGTGAGAAAAATAATTTAAAGTGTATGTTAATAGATTTGATGAGAAATGGCTTTAATCCCCTATTAAAGCAGGAAAGGTAAGTGCCTTCTGTGATAAGAACTACTTTGAGGGCTGTGCCCATAGCTCAGTGGATGGGGCGCTGGCCACATACACCAAGGCTAGCGGGTTTGAACCTGGCCCAGCCCAGCTGGAGCAGCAATGACGGCTGCAACCAAAAAATAGCTGCTGGGTGTTGTGGTGGGCACCTGTAGTCCCAGCTACTTGGGAGGCTGAGGCAAGAGAATTGTGTAAGCCCAAGAGTTGGAGGTTACTGTGAGCTGTGATGCCACAACACTCTGCTGAGGGTGACAACTTGAGACTCTGTCTCAAAAAAAAAAAAAAGTACGAACTACTTTTAGGTTTTGTAAAGGGAGTGAAAATTTAGCTAAAAATTTGTGAAATTTGTTACAACTTAAGAGACTCTTACCATGTGAAATTTGAGACTCACTGTAGTCTTAAATTTTCCCAAGAAAAAATAAACTAAACTCTACTGGTCAGAGCAGATTATATAAAACTGAAATATTGCACTCAATAAATGTTTATTATTAACAGACTCCATTGACCATGTTGGGAGTATCCCATTTGTACTCTGGATTTTCCTATCAGGGAAGGTGCCTCAATATTGATTCACGGGACAGAAGGAATTGATTCCACACTCCAGGTGACCTCCCTGGCCCAGATCATCTTGGAACCCAGAAGCAGGACCATCCGTGGGTTTGAGGCTCTGATCGAGAGAGAGTGGCTACAGGTGAGAGAAGCAGTCTGGTCCTATGATCGTGATTTGTGGTGGCTGACATACTATATAAAATGTTGATTGATTAAAATGTTTTCTTATGAGTGCATATCCCATTTATCTCTTGATGGTCTGTTGTTGATAGAGAGTGCCCTAGTGTCAGCCTGGCTCACAGCAACCTCAAGTTCAGGGCTCAAGCCATCCTCCTGCTCAGCTCCCAAGTAGCTGGGACTACAGGCGCCCACCACAACACCTGGCTAATTTTCCTATTTTTAGTTGAAACAAAGTCTTATTCTTGCTCAGGCTGATCTTGAACTCCTCCAGCCTTGACCTATCAGAGTGCTGGGATTACACCTCGCCTGGCTGATAGGTTAAATTTTTAATTTGTGTATTTAATTTTCTGTAGGGCAATTAATCTGTCTTTCCCTTGTTTCTGGGTCTCCCTTTGCCTGCATTGCTCACTTGGCACCACGTTCATTTAACAGGTTCTTGTCAGCTGTACTGTGTTATATGTAGGGGAAACATGAAGAATATAAAACATAAGGAAAGTCAAACATTGTATCTCCCCAAGCTTGGTCTTGATAAGACATAAAGACCGTCAGCAGTGGGGCCAGGGCTGTGACAGCAGCGACATGTAGCTGGATCTTCAGAATGAGAAGAATCTCAACTGGTTGGGGAGGGGCAGGGTGAACAAGGTGAGCAGGAGGCAGAAAGTGCCCAGGACCTGCCTGGGGTGCACAGTGAGCAAGCAAGTGCCATGGCCTTACTTGTGTGTTGCCATTGGAAGTGGTATCAAAATCCCATTAACTCCTGCAATACTTCCGTGACATTATCTTTGTCAGATAAGATAGTGTAACAACCCAGAGAGAGGCAGGTCTGAGAAAACTACCCAGTAGAGTGTGATTTCTGGGGAGGTCAGTATTTGGGTTTGGGGCAGAGGGGCTGAGCATTTCTTAAATTTACTTTGGTCAGTAGATGGCAAACTCTTCAATATTTTTGGGAAAAGAGTGTAATTAAAATATAAAAGAATTTGTAAAGATGTATTTAAGACTATACCTTTTTCTAAATGTAATTAAAGATTTACTATCAGAGCTGACCTTACGGTTAGTCTGGCAAACTCCCACATTTGTCTTCATTTACTGGTGAGGTTTATGCAGCTTGTAAAACATTCGACAGTATTTTACATGGAAGGCAGTTGTCCTTTGTCTTGTAACTGAGAACTATGTTCTTTGACTTTACTTCAAATTTTCCAGACCGAGGAGGTTTATTTTATAAGTTTATTATTAAGTTCTTTCTTCTTCCATTTGATACCCCAGGGACAGTTGCATTTCCCAGGGTCACGAGCTTTATCTGTGCAGCCTTTAAGGATTTAAAACTTGCACTTAAGTGTTTATTTTAAACCGGTAAGTCATTAATTCAGTGGTTCTCAACCTTCCTAATGCCACGGCCCTTTAATACAGTTCCTGTGGGTCGCGACCCACAGGTTGAGAACCGCTGCATTGTATGTGATGTTCCATCTAATAACAACTTTATTGCCAGGCACCATGGCTCATGCCTGTAATCCTAGTACTCTGGGAGGCCAGGTGAGTGGATTGCTTGAGCTCAGGAGTTCAAGACCAGCCTGAGCCAGAGTGAGACCCTGTCTCTCAAAAAATTAGCCAGACATTGTGGCAGGTATCTATAGTCCCAGCTATTTGGAAGGCTGAGGCAAGAGGATCACTTGAGTGGGGTTGCTGTGAGCTATGATGCCACAGGACTCTACTGAGGGCGACAGAATAAAACTCTGTCTTAAAAAAGAAAACAACAAAACAATCACTGTATTTGTGTGAAATAGTGTTCACGGAATGTGCTACCATGTGGTCTCACTAGGGTCTGACTGCCCCGTTTCCATCTTCTCCTTAGGCTGGCCACCCATTCCAGCAGCGCTGCGCACAGTCAGCCTACTGTGCTAGTAAGCAGAAGTGGGAGGCCCCCGTGTTTCTTCTCTTCTTGGACTGCGTGTGGCAGATACTTCGTCAGTTCCCCTGTTCTTTTGAGTTTAATGAGCGTTTCCTCATCGTGCTCTTCGAGCACGCGTACGCCTCCCAGTTTGGAACGTTTCTGGGCAACAATGAAAGTGAAAGGTGAGTACCTGCTCACCTGGTCTCTTGGTCACTGGGATTTGAGGCTCCTTCAGTAGTTCATAGCATGACGCGTGGGTTCTCTATTTTTAATATGGTATGTTATAACTTTTGTGTCTTTATATTTTAGGCATCTCAGTAATAGCAGAAACATTAGAAAGCTTTTTATACTTTGCTATTTTAAATTAAAATACAGTGCCATATCCAACAAAGGACTTTTGTGTAAAGTAACATTGTCTGGTGTCAAACCTGAATCTAGAGAATGTTACTTTACAGGAGATCCCTGGGGTCCAGGTCTTTGAGACCAGCCTGAGCAACATAGTGAGACCTTGTTACTACAGAAAATAGAAAAAATGATCTGGTGTGGTGGTACACACCTGTAGTCCCAGATACTTGGGAGGCTGAGGCAAGAGGATCACTTGAGCCTAGGAGTTTGAGTTGCTGTGAGCTATGAAGCCATAGCACTCTACCAAGGATGACAGAATAAGACTCTGTATCAAAAAAAAAAAAAATAGGTTCTATCTGTTATCATATTGTCCTATTAAAAGGACCACTTTTTAAAAAAGGATTACTAATAATATTTGTTATAAATTAATTGCTTTAATGGCTGTTTTCTGTCTTGATCAGATGTAAGTTGAAGCTACAGCAGAAAACCATGTCTCTGTGGTCCTGGGTCAATCGGCCTAGTGAACTGAGTAAGTTCACCAATCCTCTCTTTGAAACCAACAACCTTGTCATCTGGCCTTCAGTCGCTCCTCAGAGTCTTCAGCTGTGGGAAGGTAACCACAAAGCCTTTGCAAACTTTCTGGTGGTCAGATGGTACCTGTGAGTACGTGCTGCTGTTGATACTTCAAGGTGGTGAGCTGGACGTGACCCTGAGACCGTGTGTCTTTGCCGTGTGTCTCTAGGATCAGTTACAGTTACCTAGTCAGACTGACTTGTTTCGCTCCCCATTTGAGAAACAGTGATTATTCAATACACACTGCTATTTATGTTGGTGGTTTTTCCTAGATAAGAAATGAAATACATTGCTTTTGGCATACCTACTTTTGGTAGGTAGTTGGGACATGAATAAATTGTAAGTTCCTCCCAGAGAATTTCTACCTGTGTCCTTTATTGAGGACAGGTTCTTGTGTTAAATGCTGGGAAGGGTTCCATGGCTGGTCATTCTGGTAAGAGTCGATACATGGACACATTCACCAGCAATGTAGTAAGGCAGAATTTTCATTGTTCATACAGAACAGTAATCCATATGTAATTTAATTTTCAAACCTGTTTATCCTAAAGTGGGTTTTTTAGACCACAGAAGCTCATCCCCTTAAGTAGCAAAGCTTGTTTTAAAAAGACAAAATCTATCTAAATTTTTTTCATTGAACAAAGACTCTAAAATACCATTTAATTTCTCTTTAGTTATTTTGAAGCCATTCAGCCCATATTTATTCATGTTATATTAAAGAGCATAAAACACCTACAAAGAATGGTAGCTGTTTGGTGAATTAAGCTGAATTGCCGTGAATGTCAGTTGTTATACCAAGTTCTAATATGTCCTGCCCTCAAGGGCAGTTCATGTGCAGAAAACTATTTGCCCTTTGTGTGCAGAATCTCAAATCACATTGCTTTCTTAGTCTGAGAGTGGCTCACGCCTGTAATCCTAGCACTCTGGGAAGCCAAGGCAGGTGGATTGCCTGAGGAAGAATGAGACTCATATCTAAAAATAGCCGGGCATTGTGGCAAGTGCCTGTAGTCCCAGCTACTTGGGAGACTGAGACAAAAGAATCGCTTCAGCCAAGAGTTTGAGGTTGCTATGAGCTATGACATCATGGCACTTTATTTAGGGTAACAAAGTGGGACTCTATCTTAAAAAAATAAAAAAATAAAGACATTGGTTCTCTTTTCTTTTTCTTTTTTTCTTTTGTTTTGATTTAAGACAGAGTCTCAAGCTGTTGCCCTGGGTAGAGTGCCCTGGCAACATAGCTCACAGCAACCTCCAACTTGAGCTCAAGCAATCCAATCCTCTTGCCTCAGTTTTTCTAATTTTAGTAGAGACAGGGGTCTCTCTTTTGCTCAGGCTGGTCTCAAACTCTTGAACTCAAGCATTCCACCCTCCTGGGCCTCCCAGAGTGCTAGGATTACAGGTGTGAGCCACCACGCCTGGCTCTCTCTTCTCTTAGAAACTAGTATTTGGACACATAGAAGGGCTCATTAGGACCTGTGACAGTTTATAGAAAGTGTAATGAATCAGGGACATCTTTGTGAACTTGCCAGCTACTGACCTGTGGCAGCCTAGAAAGTTTTAATATCTTCTTACTTAAGTATCTTTAAGGCATTCTTTTGGAATGATGTAGTTAACATCAGTCTTTGTAGAGGAGAAAAGTATCTCCTTTTAGTCCATAATAAAAGGATAATTATCTGTGGAAAGAAGCAGTTGCCTGCAGAATAACTTTTTAAGTGACGAGAGAGACAGAACACACCCACCTGCATGTGCAAAGTTCAGGCTTATAAATAATTTATGTGATTCTGCTTCTCCTTGTGACTTATATTGCAAAACTGAAAAGTTTATGGCATTGGCAGATTAATAGCTGGTTTTCCTGAATATATCACGGAATGGTATTTTTATCTATTTGATGATTTGGGGAGGAATTAATGAGCATGTTAAATAGTAACTCTTTGACACGGTATTTATTTGTATTCTTTTTAGTACCTCAAGATTCCTCTGTATTTTAGAACATAATAAAACAGATGTGAGCTGTAGGGAAAAAAGAAATGTATGTTACTTGGATTTGTATATTATCCACAGATACAATGTTAAGCATTATATCTTTTTTCCTTCTGTTTTCCACTCCTGGATTCAATAGGTGTTTTCCTACGCTGGAACAGAACCTCGAAATATTTGGATGAAGCATATGAAGAAATGGTTAACATTATTGAGTATAACAAAGAATTACAAGCAAAAGTCAACATCCTCAGGAGGCAGTTGGCAGAACTGGAAACAGAGGATGGGACACCGGACAGTCCCTGAAAGGGGTCCCCTCCCCACACCCTCTCTACGGACCTTCCTGGACCTGTGCCTGCCTCTCTCCCCCTGTGTGCACTTCAGTTCACTTTTACACAATAGCCTTGAACTTCAGGCTGTAGGTGTGGGTTCCTCTGTGTAATGGGTTTCTCAGTACTGTATGGATAGGACTGAACTATGATGACTCATGTTTCACGTGGCCTGTTAGGGCCCTTCGCTTGGAAGCAGGAAGGAGGTGCTAGTCATTTTATTTTATGTGAAATAGATGACCTATTTAATGCCATTCGTGTTATTCTGCATTTCATCTGAAGCTTTTGTCCACTTCCCAAACAGTGCTGTACACCAGTCAAGGATACGGTTAGTCTCTTTGGGAAATATTTGATAGTTTTAAAAAAAAAGGATCAGTTTTAAACACTCTGAGTACAGAAATGTTTTTCAAAATTGAACTATTGATTCAATTTGATTTTGTGTTTGACCTACCATTTCCAAGATCTTTGCCACATAAAATAGCCATTCTCTTTACAGTAGTCCCGGACTAGCAACACTGAACTCATCGTCATCCTGGTTCACAAGAAAAGGAAAACCTGAGTACTTACTCAAGGTAAATTCTTCCTATAAGGGCCAGAGGTGTAGTCCTTTGATATTTATAGTAAGAAGAGTTAGGTTTATTTTAACAGTAGACACTAAAAGTATGTGCAATACAGTAGGAATTTGTTACTGATAGGGAATTGTTACTGTTGTATTGGTTTTTCACGTTTTGACCATACATATAAAATGTATATAAAATGCTGGTTATAAAATAAAAGTCAAACCATCACTTAGAATAGAGTTCATTTGTTATAATTAAGCTACAAATATTGTTTTCTTAAGCCAGAGTTGCACTGCCCTTGTCTAAAGTTCTTATTGCACTGGTTTATATATATGTGTGTGCGTGCGTGTGTATATTTTATTGTATTTTTTAATTTTTAAGTGTTTTAAGAGTTTAATACTAAGGTTAAAGTTTTCATGTTGTCCTGAGCCTTTTGCAGATTTATTTTGGCTCCGCTGATTTGTCAGTGTGCATCAGGCAGATATGACTGGGGGGGAATTGATGAGTATGATGCAGCTCTAGGTTTTGAACTTCAGAAACAGATTTGAAGTAGTTCAGTGTTGAACATAGTGATGGCTGTATTCATGCTCCACTTGTTTGTTCATGCCCGCAAGTCCAAATGCGTGGGTTGGGGTTCGGTCCTTTCCACGTGTGTTCTGTTTTGTGGCACTGCTCATTTCAACAAATAACCTTCAATTCTAGTTTTCCTTTAAAGGATAGTTGACAAGTAGTCTTTAATGCCATTCCCACGCCGTCTGTAAATGACCATTTCAGTGTAGAACACTCTGCATTGAACCCTGCTTTCAAGCTGTGTATTGAGCTAACAGTATAATTTTTAAAAATCAACTAGCAAAATCTATGGCCACATTATGAAGGCTTAGAAAGTAGCAAATACTTTCTGTCTCCAGTTTCCCCAAGCTTCAGCTTTTTTCCACTTCCTCAGACTTGTAGCAAAAGGCTGGACAACAAGGCTAGTCCAGACTCTTGGCAAATTTGCCTGCCACCTTCTCTATGCTCAGTTTTATTTTTATTTTCTTAGTTATAAATCTTGGGGCATGAAAGTTATATGACAAGGAGCATAAGAGGTGTTCTTGTGTCTGTTCTGTGAAGTGTTAGTTTATAGAGGACAAACAGCCTGGCTTTCTCACGGCTCCCCACCGTCGCCCGTCCTGTCTGTCCATGCAACTGACCTTTTCGTTTTCTCCTATTTCTGTCTCAAAACCACAAGTGAAAAAGGAACCTTTTTCTTCTTAATTAACAGACCCATAAAGCAAACCGTCCAGAGGTTTTCTTTAGATGTGATCCCTGCTGCTCTGCCGCTCTGCCACCGGCTGGCGAGAGTGGGAACACAAGATCGTGGCCATCGATTCGTCCTTGTCTTCCTGGTGGTGTTGGTGTCAGAGAACAATAATGGCATATGGGAGTTTTCCTCTTTTTCTTTTTCATTTTTATTTTCAATTTCTTTTTCTACTCTTTCTGAGACAGCAATCTTCACTGTTTTGGCAAGTTTGCATTTTAGTATTAATTTACAAGAGGGATTTGTCCCAACCTCAGATCTGTTTATAGGTTATAAAAATAAACTTTGGTATCAGTAAACTTTCAATGGGGTCATTTAGTAATGGAAATATTTGGGTTTTCCCAAAGTCGAGAACTCTGTCAGAGATAGGTGCATTATCAATGTAATTTGAGGAGGGTTTTTAATATCACCAGGAAGTTACCCTTCCTTGGATGAGAAAAAATGAAATGGATAAATGGTTGCACATCATGAGAAGATACTTATAAAACCTTAAATTTGGAGAGTTGCCTTTGATAAAGGTGGCATTAAAAACTTGAATGAAGAGAATGAAGGCAGGATTAGTGAGCTGTCCTGTGGGAGCCGATCCTGCTCAAGTGAAACGTAATCGGGTTCATGGATATTAGTCATCACCTCTAACTTATGGTAAAGGCAGAAGGCCCCACAAAGAATAGTTTTAAAATACCAAGGATCACAAGAGTCCTCTATCAGCAATACAAGGATCCTTAAATTTAAATTAATAATTTTTTAAAAATCAGAACACAGACAATTGTATAAACCTGAAACTTTTTTGGTGGCGGGACTTTTTTCAGAAACTGTTTGGTTAAAACTTTTGATTTTGATTTTACTGAATGAGAAGAGAAAACAAGCAGAAATAGTAAAATTCAGTAGGTTTTAGACAACCTATAAATGTATTTTATTTTTAAGAAAACTTAGGCTGTCACTGTAAGATTTCGTGATTTTTCAGAAAACTTAGGAAGACAATAATAGACATTTATTTCAGTTCCCATATAGGGGATTTTAAAACTTGATTTTGAGGCCTGATTTAGAGGTGGAATCATACTGCTTTTCGTTTAAAGGATGGAATTTAATGGGATGTTATCTTTGATTCAGTCGATATTTGGTTTATGTTAGATGAAAAATCAGTATCAGGGAAAAGATGTGACTACGTAGTCCAGTCTCTTGAAAGGAAAAAGTAACATTTTGCTGTATTTTGAGAAATCTGGTCCATGACATGTGTCTTGTAATTATCTGGTTTCAGGAATAGCAGTTTTCATTGTCAGTCTTAAGCAGGTCATCGGTTGCTTCTTATCAGACCTGAAGTAAAGGTTTTGGTGTTTGCTTGCTTCCTAATTTAATGAGTGAACATGACATGAGGGTACTATGAGCACTCTTTATTAGACCAAAAAAAGAAATCAGAATAGCTGATCCCATGTTGTGGAAGCTTTGACATCTGCCAGAGAATGAAGTCATCTGTATGTGACATGCAGGTTTATGCTGTCCCTCGAGACCACACAGGTTACCGTTCTTTACCGGGGACCAGATCTCTCCTCTCCAGACCTGGTATCCTAAGTTATTGCCAGATAGTATTTGTATGTTTTTCAGCATCTCAAAAGTCACTAAATGAGGGCAATGCCTGTGGCTCAAAGGAGGAGGGCGCCAGCCCCATATACCGGAGGTAGTGGGTTCAAACCTGGCCCCGGCCAAAAACTGCAAAAAAAAAAATCACTAAATGACTGATTTCTCCATTTGTATTTATTCTCAGGTATTGTGAAATGCTAAATTTCTTATAGTGTCAGTTTTTAATTTTTATTCTCTCAAATAAAACTATTTCTACTTTCACTTTATAATTCACCGTCCACAGCATCTTTTTCCTTTCAGCCACTAGAGACTCTAAAATTCCAGGACTGGACTTCACAGCGTCTACATTTGTTATCTAAATTTCCCTTTTAAGAAACCTGACATCTCTCTTTTGAATTACACTCTGGAATAGCAGTTTGTGTTCAATTTAGGGGAAGATAACGGGGCTTACTGTAAACACTCTATTGTCCTGAAAGGAATTCCTGATAGGAGCTGTCTGACTTTTAAAGCCATTCTCTTTTACCATCTGCAAGTCTAAGGGTTCGCTGTATTTGTGAATTGTAATTGAGTTGTACAACACTGCCCGTATCTGTCTAAGCCATTTGCTTCACTTTCAGAATGCTCGTATCTTTGGAGAGGTGAATTATTACACAGTACACTGCAAGTTCCATCATTTAGGATCCCTATAGATCTGTTACCATCTATACTAAAAACATACTTGCACAATTTAGTTTATTTTAAAAAAATGTATTTCAGTAGCCGGGTATTTGGATTGTACTCTTGATATATTTGAATGTGACTCTTGGATGTAAGTGCACTATTCATGTCTTACCCAGTAAAATTGCACTGTATGGCAGATATATCTATAATGTATGCTTTGCTAAAACCTCAAGAGTGCTGTAAGGTACGGGTTTCTATATTGGGGGAACCTGTCTCTCTCTCTCTTTCTCTATGGTCTTAGGGAAAAATTCTGAAATTTTGTAAGTTTCTGTAACATTTTAATATTATTTGTAATGCTCACTAAATGATAAGTTCACTCCTATTCTACAACCGGGATCATTCATCTTGAGTTGGCTGGTTGGCCAAGCTTGGTTTACTGAATCAAGAAGCAGTTTTATCAAACGTGGTACTGTTATTGGTGTGTAACATCTATGTATCGTGTTCCCTCTGCCTCAGAGGACTGTTGCACAGATGCTAGTGTAAAATTTCTATAGACAACGGTAATAAAATTTGAATTTGTTCAAGTGCTGATAAACTAAATGTGTAGGCTGATTTTAATTTTTTTCAATATTTGTGAAGGTTTCGACTATATTTAAATTAAAACGTATATATTTTTGACCCATTTTGAAAAAATTGAGATCTGCAAAAAGGCTGCAAATAGTACAGTGATTCTCCACATGCTGCGGGCCTAGATTATGGATCGGTAGCATTTAACACCCTGTGTGGGTTCTACTACTATTGTTATTTTGCTGAAACAGTTGTGAGTAAGCTGTAGATGTCAAGACGCTTCCTTGTAAATACTTCACACGTATCTCCTAAGAATTAGTATGTGGTATACTATTCATCTAGTATTTATTAATATAAGTAAATTAATTAATGAGGGAAAATGAAAGTTTGTCCTTAGAGTAGAGTGCCAACCATTAAATGTAGACATGAAGAAAGGATGGAATTAAAAAGCCACTCTTTGGGCCGGGTACAGTGGCTCACCCCTGAGGCTGATGCAGGTGGATTGCTGGGAGGCTGAGGCAGGTGGATTGCTTGAGCAAGAATGAGACCTCATCTCTACTAAAAATAGAAAAACAAGCCAGTTGTTTTGGCGGGTGCCTATAGTCCCAGCTACTTGGGAGGCAGGAGGATCACTTGAGTCTAAGAGTTTGAGATTGCTGTGTGCTAGGACACCACGACACTCTACCCAGGACACAGAGTGAGACTTTAAAAAGCCACTATTTGGCAAATTATCACAGTAATCATTGTTTTAGGTAATATCAGTAAATGGCAAAACTAGTAGGTGAAAGTTTGTGAGGAGCAATATAGTCAAAGTATCTTTTCATAAAAGACTTACCTAGGTAAAGGGGGAAATAGTAACTTTATAGTGGAAGAATCTGGCGGATACCACCTTATCCAAGCAAAAGTTAACATGGCCAGTACTGACAGATATTTACATCATGTACCTTCTAACGCGATCCAGTGAGAACGTGGCATCACTTTGGGAGCAAAGAAGCACAACCTGAATCTAATTGTGAAGAAACATCAGACACACCTAAACATAAGTAAACAAACTATCATAAACAAACTATCATGCTCATAGAAGAAAAGGAAAGACTGAGAAGCTTTTAATAAGGTTAAAATTGTTTCACATTTTCAACAAAAGCCCCAAATGAACAAAAAGAGAAGAGATTAGAGAAAGCTACTGAAGTTCCAGTCAAAAAATTTCAGCTATAACAATTCTC